AATACGAATTTTAAGTCAATAAATGATGTCTTCAAAACTCTCTGAGAATTAAGATTCACATAAGGCAATTCAGCGGAGGAATTAATATCACACAGTGCAACCCAAGTGGCGGTACACTTTCATCAGATTTGGTTTCCAGTGTCAAACTGTGCCTCCAATAGCACACATTCAAATTTCTCATAAGGAGATCAGCAGAAAAATACATACTACTAAATAGTCCTAATTTGACTTAAGACTATAAACAAAGATAAACGGGGCTTTTCACACCTCTCAGGCTGACACTTTCTGAATAATAGAATACTACTAGCAAGGAGACATCACAAGAGATGACCCCTGCTTGAACCAGAGACACCCTGGATGAGGTTGTTCAGGATCTCCTTTAGGTATTGCCTACAACAGCTCCAGGAATGGAAGTTTCACAGCTTTCAAGGCTCCTGGCAGCCACTTAGGCAGCCTGTGAGGTCCTCTCTCTACTCCTCCCAGTTGGGTGCACAACCTGCAAACTGCCTGAGGCTGTTCTCTGCCCATCTTCCCATCCCCGACGATGACAGAAAACCCTCTCCATCCCAGTATTAAGATCCAAAAATGTCTTCAGACCACTCGCTGTGATGCTGAGAGTCTGCTGGGGCATCAAGAAATCTCCCAACATGCCCCAGAACCCCCTGCATGTCCTGCCGCATCACCAAGCTGCCACTCCAGCACACACCACATGGTGAAGGATAACTTCATAGACCCTAAGGGCTGCAATCACGAGACTTTCTCCAGATGTGTAAAGGCTTCATCTATCACTTTCTCATGCTTATGTGGTCAGTATTGACATTCACTTTTTCAGATGTGTGAAAATGTTGCCCTTCCATGCTCTGATCCTTACACAGAAGCTCCTGACTGGCTCACCATCCTCTCCAAAACAAGACTGTAAGTGTTCATGTCAGTCAGCACACAAGCACAAATATCGTGCTTGTTTCCTCACCCTCCATCCTGTGAAGCTATCCCGATGCATCCTTGCAATCCCAATGGCCTCACAGCTCTGCATCTCCATGCAGACTCCTCAATTTCTCCTCCATGCTAGCAATATTCATTCACGTGCAGAACATCCTTCCTTGGCTACGGACTGTTTTTGAAGAAAATCTGAAGTTTAAAGAGATGGAAAGTTCCAGTATAAACAACTGTGATGTGGCACACCACTGGATACTGGCACCATTCAACTCATTCGCCTCAAGACCTCAGACCTGTCTAACTCCCAAAGATGGCACAGAATGGCAGACACCAACTTTCGCAATACAGAAGTACAGATTCACTCAGTGTTCTACGCTTACTTTGGAATTTTGAAGATGACGAATTGCATCTCAACTCATGTTTTGAAACCGTTCTCTAAATAACACGGCATATTTGTTTACAGTCAATGATTTTTCTTTATACAGCACTCAATAATCACTCCTTTTTTTTGGTGCCTGAGTACTTGTCAAACGCCCATCACACGGGGGTGACAGGGAACCATCTGCCTCCCTCCCCAGAGGCACCTCCTTTTACTTATTGCCACCTGTTCTTTTTTCAATTCCCAAACGGCAACTCTCAGCAACGCCAGATCCACTGGAAAAGGCCAGGCTACAGGTCCTGCCTGAATTTTTCAGTCTTGTCACTAGCATTTAACCTCCACAACGAAAACCCAAATGTATCCGTTACTGAGGTTCTCACAGCCACCAAGTTCACACAAAATAATGCTGTAAAAAGGACAACAGGAAATAGCCTCGTTATGATTCAGCGAGCATATTAGCATCCATACATTGGAAAACTGATGAGGTCAGGTGGTGACCTGCCAGAGAATAATCATTACTTTCAAAACAGAAATCAGGCAGAAATTCCCTTTCTTTAGGTTGTTCTCTTCTAAACTTATTAGCAGAATTACAGAATTTGAAAATAAAGCAGCCATTCCAGTGGTGGCCCTGGTGTCTATTGCCAGTCAGTTCTGTTCCAATTCTCCATTAATCCCTTCTGCACACACTGCAAGCTTTTCAGAATTCCACACAAATACAAAACAAACCAACCCAAAAAGAAACCTTGTGCCTGACCAACAGTTGTGTGCTGCAAGATTGCATGCACACAGCTCTGGGCCACTATGTTATATGAAGAATCAAAACAGTGTTTCCTCTGAAGCCAGTGTTTAAATACTGAAAGCCTCTTGTTGCAGCAGATAAGCATATTGTGTACTTTATGCCTGCTATATTTAAAAATGATGCAACCACCTAAGACTGAAGACAATATAATGTGATATTCCACTTCCAGACACTCAGCAGGCAACAGCAAAACCCCAGGCAGCTCAAACCAACACAAGTCGATTTCTAAATGAAGGGTTTAGGATGAAACACAGAAAAGACAATTAAGACCGGATCCAATATGCAAAGTGCAAATGGAGAACACTTTCATTGGTTTAATTCTATTTAACCTTTTTCAGACCACCTCCCTCAGAGCCTGAGTGCCTTTTCCAACGGCTCACGTTCACCCCCCACGGCAGCCAAACGTCGTCTTCCTCACTGGCAATTATATCATAATCAATGCTGTACTCCATTTATAGATGCCCACAAAGAGTCTCAGCCCATTTCTTCAACATAAAGAATTCATGTGGCCTGGCTGTGGGACAAACCGTAAGGCTTCTACTTTCTAATACAAATTTACTTTGTTAAAGATCAACTTGACAAGGCAACTGAAAGTGCGATTACCTGCACGTAAATAGTCCAGATGTTTCCCAGTTCCATTTAGGAAGAAGAAAACAGAACAGAAAGGGAAGGGACAGCTGCTAACTGGGAAGAATAACTTCAGTGAATACATAATCAACGTTTCTTCACTGAAATTACTTTTCAAATCGCCAAGGTAGCAAATTCTCATTGTCAAGTGTGGAATTTAAGACAAATAGATTTCTGAATTAATGACCGAAGTATTCAGAATCTTTTTTGTTCAACTTAGTGGGTTTTATTTCCATACCAAGCTAGATGTTGTGAAAGAACTGAAGTATATATCCTGCTTTCACTCTCCCTGAGTTATCTTTCCATCTTCACTGTTCATATATTGTGACAAGGTGCTAAAATAAGATCTCAAATATCCATTTTTTCTTTGACTGAGTATATCGTACCACTTTTCATACATCAGGACTGAATAAGACACAGCATATTCATGCCTAATTATATGACTTGTTATGTCACTACTCAATAGCAAAAGAAATAAATGTACTTTCAGTGATGTACCATGTGATCATCTCTACTGCTGGAGAGCAACAACTAATATGCATCAGCGTTAGAGTGGGAGTGCATTGTTAAAAACACTGCAGGCCATGTAACAGAATAATTTGACTTCTTGGGTGCATTTTTACACCTAATACGAGACTCCATCAACACTGCATCCATAATCCTTTGGCAGCATGCAAAAGAAAAAGGACAGCATTATAAGGCACAGTCCTTTAGTATAACAGGACAGGTTGCCAGAGTAGAACAGGAAGGAGAAACCATTGGGCACAAAACAGGGGAAGGGAAAGGAAGAAGAGTGAGACCACAGGAACTAAAATAATAACAGTAACAATCATTTATAAACCACTACTGGGTGAAAGTAGAAACTTTGGCAGGGCTTCAAAACCCAGGTTCATTAATTATTCAATATTTTTCAAACTCAAAAAATACGGACTAATGCTTCCGCCTGAATGATTTGGAAACCACTCAGGCGATTCATACATATAGCAGAAATAAAATTACTTTTAATAATTTTTCTGGCAACATGGTGATAGTAGGCCATTGCTGGATCCAGCCACCTAGCACCAGTGGGAGGTCAGAATCCCAGGGCTGTGAGTATTCAAGCTGCTGGATCCAGTTTCGCTCCCCACGTTATTGTTGAAATCCATGCATGTCCTCAGCCATCAATGAAACACACCCGTGTTCAAAGCTGAATTCAGAAGAAGTTAGAAGTGCACAACTACTCTACAGAACAACCAGAAAAGAAAAGAAAAATTTCTCTTTATGGCACACTCGTAACAGTTTACTCTCTGTACGTTGAATGCCAATACTGGGTCTAGCAGTTTCACATCTGTTAAAATTTTAAGAGTGAAGTTTCATCATGCCTCTGATCAGACCTGGGTGTTCCTGCTAAATCTTTCCATCCAAAAGCCTTGTGGTAAATGGAGAAACACACAAGAAACTGTAATTTTGAAACAGCATCCAAAAAAACCAAGCAGCATTGAGTAAAAAATGTACACCGTTAGTATCTTCTTGCCTGACTACTGATTTTCCACCTTATGTTCTTACAAATTATTTTCAAGAACAGTGTAACCTGAAAGATCAAAGCAAGCTGATGCCTCAGTACTGATGTTTGTACTACCAGTTTTTGTGGAAGGCAGTACCTCTTTTACCATAACAATAATTATCCTCTTTTAACATTTGAAATATGTAATGCAGGAAATTGTGTGTTTCAGTAACAAAAAGGTGAGCACTGTTACTAATTCCACTTACTGGAGCAAAGTAACAAATATTTATCTTCAGTCGCAGCTACACCTCAGTTACACCTGCAGTCACAGCTTGCCAAAACGACAGAGCTCACTCCTACTTTATTTTGTTTTCAACTGATAGCAGAAAAAAGCTCCTAACATTGGAATGACTTTGGTGTAGAATACTTCATTTGTTGTGTGCTCCATAAGAACTTTCTCCAGTTTTATAATTGCAGTGATAGTTTTCCATTTGGATATTTTTCAAAATCTCAGCATACAATTAATTTTTCAGATTTATGGCTGTGGTTTCTTAATGCACCAAGTATTTCCAAGACAAATTTCAAAACGCAAGGTGAGCCCTGCAGAACCTCTCAGCTCTCCTAAGTAACTATAAAAGATGACAGTGAATCCCTCAGATGGTTCAAAAAATCCCCCTAGTGGAGCTGAGTTACAGATAACGTGTCATGCAGAAAAGGCCCCTTGCAATTGTTCCCCCCTCCATCCTTTGGCATTAAAACATCACTGTTTATCTTACCGAGGTCAAGTATTATCAGCTGGGCTCCAGCCTGTGCATTTCCAACATCATTTTCGGCAATGCACTGATAGAATCCTTCATCTGATTTCACCAGACCCAAAACTTGTAGATTATGTTCTTTCTGAGGAGCAAAGGATAAACGCAACACTTAAAAATGGGCTGCAATTGCAAAAACAACGGTGTTTTATGACACATTTCTATGATAGGAGAAACTCCTGAACAGTAAAATACAGAAGCATATTTTGAGTTCCCGTCAGATTTCACACTGAATCCTCACATTATACAGCATCAAAAAGCAGCAGAAGCTCCTACTAATGGCTATCATTTTCTAGCATCACATATCACTGGCAAGTCATAACATTCCCACAGCCATTTTTATGATATTTTAAGCACTGCACATAACCACATAACTCACTGTTACAATTCTACAACCTCAGGTATACATAATTATACAGCCATTAAGTTCTAAGCTATGCCTCAGTAATGACTTTCACTACATCTAAAATTTCCCACCTGAAGCACCGGTGCATCAAAACTCACGATCCACAACTCAGTTCTATTTATATTTAAATCCCTGTTTGAAATTGTAATTTTCATCAATCACAGCTGACTGTAGCAAACCCAGTCGGTGTTCACAGTGAGCTCACATTCCAACAGGTGCAACCAACAATTTGTGTTTTGTCATCATGCACGTCCCTGTCTCTCATGGAAAGCCTAAGCTATCGAGAAACAGACAATTTCAGCTGCACATTTCAACGTTTCAGCAAAACGACCAAATTACAGAGCACTGCAGAATTCGAGAAACTAATTAATTCTTCCAGGCCTCAAACATCGATAGTATGAAAATAGGAAGCTGGTACCATGAAAGGACTTGGCTTCCACGCATATGTATCACGGAATCATAGGACCACCGAGCTTGGAAAAGGCTTCCAAGATCATCCAGTCACCACCTAGCACCAATATTTCCCACTAAACCACGTCCCTCCCTCAGCATGACGCCTAAATCAAAGGACTAAGAGTCAAGTCAGTAGCTTACAGTGCCCAAAACTGACTGCACACTTACAACGATTTTGAAGTAGTCGCTTGGAATCACCACGTCTCCGTTCTTGACCCACTTCACCGTTGGAGTAGGTTTTCCAGTCACTTCGCACTCAAAGACAATGTCCATAGATTCATGAGCGTAAATGTTTGCAGGTCGCTTCAGAAACTCAGGAGGAACTGAAAATAAAAAGGAAGACGAGAAATGGTGTTACTATATAACAAAGGAAAACTACGTAATATTGACTTTTTAAAACCAATGGACATAAAACCAAGATGAAACTTTCCTCGGATACCGACTGCTTTGAGTAACGTCTTACAGTCAGGTGTGACCAGTGCTATGTATTCAGTAAATCAGAAAGGTTCTTCCTGTAAGAACACAACACAGACCAAAGCTGCCACCTTTTATATTCAGAATGAGAAGAATTGAACTCAAGAACTTTCAAAGCCATAAAATCTCAACAAAGTCTATGGTAACACAATCCCCAAAGCACCCAATGCACAGGTATGGCAAAAACCTTTGGCGAAAAGCATGCCAACCAAGGAGCATCCAGCTGTGTGCGAGGACTCGAAGCTTCTGCAGCTCAGTGGGAGGAAGAATTGCTGTCTGCAGGCACACAGAATTTGAATACCATCTACTATGAAGAACGTACACAAATTTATTTGCTTTTATTAAACTCGGTGACATGAGGGCAATTTGCTGACTTACGTTGGTGGATCTGATTGTTCAGGTACCAGAAGAGTGAAAAGCAGCCTCTGCCCTTTAATATTTATCAAACAAAATCAATACAGAAGGGCTGCGGAGTTCAGGCAAATACTCTGCACATTTCACTCAGTGGTGTTTATCTCATACTAGGGAATAAGAAATCCTACTCTGTGCTAGATTCTGCCTATTGAATGATCCGTTTTCCTTCTAGTAAAAGTTTGTAGGTGGATTTAATTTCTTTTAAATCAGAAAGCTGGAGACAAGCTGCTCTCCCAGAACCTCACATTCAGGTTACAAATTATATAGGAGACCATTTAAATACGAAAATATTTACCTATGGAGTAGGAAGATGACTTAGCTGTCAGACACACGTAAACCTACACCAGGAACTACAGGAGGATGGTACACATTTACTGCTTCAAATCTTTCACATAGGAGCCCTTCTGCCTATGGCTCCCAACACCCACCCAGCAACCATTTCCAGAAATTTACCAAAGCTGCCATTAACTGCTTGGAACGATTCAGGTACTTTTGTACCCACCATCCACATCAGATGGCTGCCACGACCACAACCTTCGTCCTCTTGGAAGCTGCCTTCTGAGTTTAGTGGTGACAAAACTGGGGCTAATGATTCTTTTATTTCAAATTTCTGTTCTTCCCTGACATTTTTATTATCCGTGATCTGTGCTTCCTCTCTGCTCCTGTCCCACCACCCAGCCTTTATGTGGCCGGCCCATCAAGCCCTGTGCACACAGGCCGTTCTGCTACCCATCACCCACACCACCCTCAGTCATCTCCCATGTTTGCTCAAGTCTGTGCTAATCCTTGCATGCAGCTGGCAGATGATTTGCACGTTGTCTCAGACACGTCTCACCACTGACTTGAAAAACCAGCACGAACAGTGTTATTGCTACAGCAAACACCTTGCCCAACTCATCTCACCACTGTAGTTGCTCTTTCCTGGATGCACCACGATGAGTGCTGAGCCAGCCTATGGCAGATCACTGCCCTCTCATCTTCAGTATTTCTAACTAATGAGTAATCTGGTCCCAGTCTGCTTTATCAGTGCTCCCATTTCCTTTCCCTCTCTCCCCACACAGAGACATACACACACACTCCAATTTCTGAAGAGCCTCCATGACTGCAAAGCAGGAACACAACAGTTGGAAGCATTTCCCCATGAAGGACTTGCATTCCTATTATCTTAACAGTCTTCTCAAAGTGACACTAATTCTTTAGCTAATGCATTAAATTTACAGGAATCTTTACAGACACAAGCTAGCAACATTCACCATCAACTTGTATACAACTTGTTTAAAAAGAAAATCCATCTAATGATGTCAGAAGACACAAACTGCTGTACCTAGCAGCTCTGCCATGGAACTCAATGATGACAAGGGGCATACATAACAGAAGTCAGCATAAAATCAGGAGTGGTGCTTACTACAAAATAAAGCCACTCAAGGTGGCCTTTGCTAGGGTTACTTTATCAAATGTACCATGATATAAATTACTTTTAACTAAATGATGTAATGAAGACATCTGGAAATCCCTCATGTTCCTTCAGCATCTGGCAGTGCTTCCAGCTGGGGCATCATGCACAAGTGGGCCCCGTACTGAATCATAAGATCTGCCACAAAAGCACAAGTTGATCCAGACATCCTATCATCCACTCTCAAATATTTTTTACATAGGAGTTGAATTTTAAATATTATTTTTTCAAAATGACTTTGCTTTTCTGGCTTATGGAGGAAATGCCAAGCTATTTAGAGAGAGAAAATAATACCAGAAGTGCTCTTCCTTTATCGTTATCCTTTATTTTCCCATTAATGAATTATAAAAGTGCATTTTAAAGGCATTTTTTAGTTTAACTATGTCAGTGTTTAGTATTCACATCAATTTACACAATGCAAGTGCAGATGATGTTTGTGGTAGAGAAGTTCAATTGATAACCAGAGAGCAAATGAGCCAATTACCATATAAAATAAGATTTGTAATGGAAGATTATGTGTCCCGGTACCAAACAGACAATTAAACTTCAAAGAAGGCTTGGCAGCTCAGCCTACTCCTCTATCCCTCTCAATGGCAACAGACAAACGGCGACTGGCTTGCACGATGCTCGCAGCATTCCATGTGCAGCACAGCACCCTAGGAGCCTCAGCACAAGGCATCTGCCTCTCTTTGTAGACAGAAGGATGTAGGAGAAGCAAAAGGCAGCGCAGGACTGCAGCTCTGCGTTGGTGCTTGTGCACCAGCACGACCCAACACAAAGGAAAATGCTGTTATGTGTGGGTTCAATTTTAAATGGTCAAGTGTCAGACGCCTCCGAGTAAAAGTGAGGAATATTAAAGAAGCATCAGCTATGCTGAGCCTTACGGAAAGGCTGCTTCCTCAAATGTCTTTTCAGTGGTCAGTGGCTCTCTCTCATTAAGGCAGAAAGAGAACAATTTGGTGGCCTTCGGGGCTGCAGTCGAAAGAATCTATTTTCAATTGAGCCATCTGTACTGCTGCAAATGAGAGGGAAATTAATTACACCCATTCCTCCTCTCCAGCCCTCCAAAAGCTCTGCTTTCAGTCTTACAAGCGTGGATGGAAGAACAAAGGTTCCTAGCTTCACAACCTTACTTCAAACGTGAAGCCAGAAATGTGAAAGAAGCAAGAAAAGGCAACGCTCAAGTTCTGCACCATTAGAAAACTCAGTGCTTTCTGCTTGCTTAGTTACAGTGCAGTGAAATCTCTCTCCCAATACACTGCAGTGCTGCTGTTTCAGGCAGTCACTCATTTTCATGCTCCTTACCTCCTCCCCACAGCCAAACCATCCCATTCTGCCCCAGCAGGAGGAAAACATCAATGGTGGCAAAGTCGTATTTGCTGATAGTGGGAGAGCTAAGAAAGCCACACAGAGGCAGAGCGGTGGTGTGAAGCGTGGAGGTCATTTAGGCCTTCATAGCAAGAAAATAACACAAAAATACTCTAATGCCTCCTTTAAAAGGAATCCCCAAACGAACCAGGCATTCTGTGCCTGTGTCCCTCAGACAGGCGGCCAAACTGCTGTCTCACTTCCTCACAGGCACAGAACACGAGCAGTGCAAGAGCAGACTCCTCTGGGTGCAGCAGAAACCAAGATTGCAAATTACTTCTCAAGGACTTACTCTGTTTTTAAACAAGCACTAGTACTGCCGTTTGGCAGTACAAGCATAGCATCACACACAGAAAACACACACACACAATCAACTGCAAGAAATAGAGGTCTCTATTGCATCGTGTGGCTGTCCTCCATCACAGGCTGCAGCACCAGAGGACTGAAGTGCAGCATCACACTTCCAAATAGCAGTGGCTGAGGACAGGAATGAAGCAGTCACTGCTGCCTCCTCAGCCACCTCCAGCTGCCCCAGTGCACAGACATTAGGAGAGTGTTCTCTGAAATCACACTATCAAATCTTAATTCCTATTGTCTCTTTGCTCTTACATATACACCTGTGCAAACAATTTAAGCGTTCCTCTATCCATCAATGCGCGCCATTCAAACACAAAAGCAATTTCAGAATCCAGCTATTCCTGCACCTCCACATCTTGATACACAAACAAAGCAGAATAGATCCTTCTTTACAATGTATCTCTGATGAATCACTCCTTAAGCACAGGTGCTCAAATGCCTTCAATTTTGTAACCATGCTTGAATGGATGCAGTGGGTACATCCCAACCTTCTTGCTGCTCTGTTCTGAATAAGCAGCATTTCAATTGTGGATGCCCCATCCCTGAAGGCATTTGAGGCCAAACTGGATGTGGCTCTGGGCAGCCTGGTCTGCTGGTTGGTGACCCTGCACACAGCACAGGGTTGGAACCAGATGCGTCCTTTTCAACCCAGGCCATTCTATGATTCTATGAATCAGCATTTCAAATGATAAGACCAGAGTAGTTTTAACCTCCTCTCCTGGGAAGACAAGATATTGTTAGGCAAATCCTATTTCAGAATCCTTACAAAGTTAACATTAATTTTAACAACAGAACGTTTGTTTATGAGCAGGATGTAACCGGAGCACGATGATGACAATGTTAATCCATTCAGCAGCACCTGGAATCAATATTAACACGCTCAGTGGCACCACTGCAGTACACAGACTTCCTCCAGAGCAACCAGTCCAGTGGCCAATTACAGCTCACACTTCTGCAGACAGCACCCTTCCATTTTGGTCAGACGTTTGCTGTCATTTGAAAAACTTTATTTTGCTGCAAATTCAGCAAACCAGCAGCTGTTTTAGCAGGTAGCTCCCTCTCAGAGTCAGACCATACAGCATCGCTTTGGTGCTTGGGTTAAGTTTGGTTTTAAAGTTAACCAGAGAGAAAACTGCATCACAGTCACAGTGCATTTTACTTAGCTAACAGAGAGTTCCTTGGCCTGTTAGCTGAAACCAACTAATTTCTGCCAGCCAATTGCCACGACACAGCAGGCAGACTTTGATGGAAACGTTT